CCTCCGGGACCTCGCTCCTCGAGCCCCGCGTTTGTAGGGCGCCAGACCGATCGCCGCGGTGGGCCTCCGACGACGAGGGCGACAATGATAGGCGCGGCCGTTCTCGCCAGCTACGCCTCCCCCATCGGCTGGCATCTCTTCAGAGGGCGGATAGGGTAACGGAAAAGTTGCCCTTTTTGTGTCTTTGGTCCAGCCTTCGAGGGGCCTCCTCCTTGCCGCGGCTGGTCGAGGCTCGGGAAGCCGGCGCCTTTGGACTGCGGGGGGGGGGGGGGTCCTGAGATTGATGTTGAGCCGATTTGGCCACCCTTGTCTTACCGCAGTTGTCTCGCGCGGCGCTCTTCCGAGAGGGGGCGCTGAGGGGGGGGGGTAAGACGGCGGCTGGCTTGAGCAGTTGTTCTGTTGATTGGTTGTTTGCTGTCTGGTTGTTCGAGCAAGCGCGGTTCCTCGCGGCCGCCTGCCGCGCCCTGGCTTCGCGAGCTCGGCGTCTGCTGCCCGCCGAGTGCTCATCGTTCGTCGAACTTCTCGTCTTCTGAGCGCCCCTTGTTTTTCCCGGCCGCCCTCTCCTCTTCTTTGCCGCTGGCGAATTTGCTATGTAGTGCCCCATGCCCAGCGCGTCGCTGGAGCGGAGTTCGCCGCCTCGCCGCTCGCGGAACAAATGTTTAGCCTGCGTCGCGGAGCTCTGGGCTTCGGGCGCGCGCGGGTGGCCCAGGGGCGGGGCGGCCGTCCACGCGGCGCCATGGCTGCTGCGTTCGGCGGACGCTTGCCCAGCTGGGGGCGCAGGCGCGCAAGGGGGGCGCCGCTGCAAGGCGCGCCCCCGAGCGCCGCGGGCTGCCCGGATTGCGCTGGGCGCTCCTGGGGGCGCCCAGCGCGAGCGCCGAGCACCGGCGGGTCATTGGGGGTGTCAGAAAATGGAAGCGTTGAGTGCTCCAGGCGCCCAGCGTTTACACGTTCTAGACAGCCCCCCAGGTGGCGAGCCGCGCCCGCAACGCGCTGCGGCAGCAGCCGGCCTCTGAATCCAACCAGATGCAGAAAAAGGAACGGGGGTGCAACGGAGTCGGCTGGAAGCGCGCGCGGTTGCCTGCGCGGCCGCAGGATTCTCGCCAACGCCCGAAGCTTCGGAGGTGGGCAGTGAGCAGGAAAGGCAGCGCGAGCAAACTGCGCGGCGATCGCGCCAGCCGTCGACTTGCGCCCGGCAAGGCGTCCGACGCCGCCCGGCAGGCGCTGAGGCTGGCAGCCAGGGCAGACGAGCCCGGGCTCGTCATCCGGCGCGCGTCTGGCGGCACCGCCGTCGCCGACGCCAGCGACCCGGCTGCCGCCCGCGTCGCGGCGAAGCCCCGCGCCGACAAGGCCCCCGCGGAAAAACATCGATGCGCCACCTTCGTGCCTGGCCGAGGCCAGCGCGGAACCCTGGAACGTTTGCGCGCTCTCCTGGCCGCGGCCAGAAGGGCGCGCGCGCCGGGGCGAGGTCCGCGGCGGCCGCGGCCGGCGCGACCGCGGAGGCGGATAATGGAGGGAAACGTCTAAAATAAATCGCCCCCCCCCCCCCAGACCACCCAAAATGATTGAGTGGGGCGGACTCATAGAATTCAGCAGCCGGATCCTTTTGTTTTCGATATAAAAAAAGAAAATCGCCCGCCCCCCGGCGTTTGTGTTTGCTCCTTTTGGGTGGCTGATTTTCTATTCGCCCTCCTTCGCTCGCTCGATCGCCCGCGGCCGCGGGGGGCGGATTGCGGAGGGGGGCTGGGTAATTAGGGGGTGCTTGAGGGGGGGGGGGTTCGAAGATGCGCTCGATCACCCTTATCCTTGCGGACGGCCGCCGGTCGCCCTCGCGGGCGGCCGCGGCGACGGGGGGTGGGGGGTAGGAGGAAGGGGGGGGGGGGGGGGGGGGACGCGCTAGGGTGCGCTCGCGTCATATATGACAGCCCACCCCTCCCTCCCATCCCTTACCACGGCGCAGATCCCCTCTCTACTCGCACAGTCGGATGTCGAGCGGGGCAATGATCCCGAAAAGGGCACGCGATGCATTGTAGAGCGCGGCATGGCACGGCGTTGAAGAGCACCGCGAAGCGTAGTGTGTCACAGCGTGGAATGGTCAGCCCCCCCGTCTGCCTGCCCTGCCCCCCCGCTATTGCGGAGGCGAGGGGGCCCGCGAAACATGTTTTAAATCGCCCGCGCCGTTTCTTTTTCTTTTTGCGTTGAAAAACACGCGCCCCCCTCCATTCGGCGCTTTCCGCGCCAGGTCCTGGACGCGCGATGCCTCTGCAGTCCAGACAGCGACCATGGGCCGACTTCTGGTCGATGCGACCATTCTGTCTGAGCGCGTCTGCGAATGCGCGCCCAGATGCGATCGCCGCGCGGCGTACTCGCTGCGCGACTGAAGCGACGCGCACCATCGAGACTCCGCGCGTGCACGTGACCGTCGGGGAATGATCGCGTCGTCGTCGTCGTCGATTCCGCGGTGGGCGCCGCGACCGCCACTGTCCGCAGAGGCCAGCGCACGCTCGAGCAGGAAGCGCCCCGCGACGCGAGGCAGCTCTGGCTCAGCGCGCGCGCGTGGCGCGCCTGTGGGGCGGGGCGCCCTGATGGAAATCGAAACAGAGCGACGCTCGTTGCGATTCCTCGCAGAAGCGCGTTGGTTGCCGACGAGTTCAGCGCCGTTGTTCGCCGAGCGCGCGAGGCGTCGCCCGCTGCGCCTGTCTTGGGCAGTCGATTCCCATTGAGGTTTGTGGCCGAGCGCAAGCTGACGGCGCGCGCCTCGCTGAGCCGCTGCCGGGAGGCTGCCGCGGCCGCAGCCTTCAAGGCGCGGGGCATGGGGCACCGCGCGTGCGCCGACGCCCGCGGGCGAAGCGGCTGCGCCCCCGAGCGGCGCAAGGAGCGGGCGCGCCGGCGAGCGGCTGACGGGCGCGCCGATCGCAGCTGGGGGAGACGCGGCTCTCGCCCCTCGGAGAGTTCATCAGTTTCGACGCAAGAAAGTTGGTAAAAGCTGCGGTTTCTCTCGCGGGGGCGAGAGGCCGTCTCCGCCGTCCGCGGCCGGTCGGACTGGGCGAGTGGCCGGGGGCGCCAGAGACAGTGTTTCCGCTCCTATTGGCACGCTCATTGGTCAATGGCAGCAGCTGTTTCCGCTCGCGCACTGAGCGCTTGCGAAGCGCAGATCTGCAACCGCCCCGGCTTCTTCGCCCCCGAACTCCCGCGTCAATGCCTCGCCGGGCTATGAAGATGTCCGCCGTCGAGAAGAACGCGAAGCTCCACGATCGGGAGATGGCCCGCAGTTTCGCCCTGGGGGGCGTCACCAAGTCGCCGCTAAGAAGAAGAAGCCTAGTGGCCGATATGTCAGGGGCAAGACTTCGCCCACTTCTGGGAAGCCTTCGACGCAGACAGACGTGCTCAGGAGGGGGCGCCCCGCCGCGCGCGAGGCTCCGGGCCCGCGTTGCATCCCCGAAGGAGATCGCACAGCTCCCGTGCAGCATCTGACCAGACAACCGAAAGCACGCGCGTTGCGGTGCATGACTTGGCTAGACTGCCGCCAGCTGCCGCGGCCCAAATCTTCGTCGACTTGGGCATCCTTCCTGATCTATCAGGCACTTGTCAAAGATGCGGGGTTGGTGCGGTGAAGTTTTGTCTCGTCCTGGGCATGGCAGTCCAGTTTCGGCGGCGGGGCATTCGGTTCCGCCGCTGGGAGAACCCGGCGCGGCGCTGCGACACTTGGGAATGCCAGAAACGTTTCAATCTAGACCCCGATGGGCCGCTCGAAGGTTTTTTTTTTTTTTTTTTTTTTTTTTTCATCCAGGGCTCGCTGAACCCAGCAAAGTCGCTGCTGTCGATCGCCCGAGTGCTTTCCACACGGAACCTCGTGCGCGTCGCCCTACGAGATTGCCGTGCAGGGCGGAGTCTCGAAGCAGCCGGCCGAACGCGTCAGCCGAGTTGTCAGGGACATATGCGCCCGTGCAGCTCAGGAAGAGAAGAATGACTTCAAGAGGGGGCCCGGTTCGCTGATCGAGGCAGACGAAGCTGCCACGCGAGTTTCCAGCGTCACCTGCCCGATGGCATGCTCCGAGAAGTCGTGCGGCAACCGCCCTCTCGGGCGCCGCAGGCTCCTGAGTCGTCGTTTCGTGTGCGTCTGTCCTCGCGGCAGCCGCAAACTGGCAATGTCTTTCGAGCTCCCTGGGCGCGCGTGCGAGGCAGGGGCAGGTGGTTGTCAGCAGCGCGTGGAATGCGATGACATCATGTCACGGGCAGTCGCGCCAGGCAACATCGCGCCGTCCGCTTCTGAGCCGATGCGCCGGCCGCAACCGCGATGTCGACCCGCCAGGCTTCAGCGCAGCGCGGCGAGCGGGATACGGCGAGCACCTCAGATGTTCCCGCGGCATAGCGTCGCACGACGGCGAGCAGCGTGCAGTCCAGGACCCAGTCCGAGTCGCGAAACCCGCTGGTGGGACGAAACTCATCCGCTTCAAGAAGGGGGCCAGATCGTGGACGGGCTGGCGAGAGATGAGAGCGAACATCCCTGACTCCGTGCATTCTTCGGACTGGAGTAGGTGCAGAGTGTATCTTTGGGCGTGGACTTGGAGCGCTCGCAGGGCTGGCAAGGGCGCGCCGGTTGAATTTGGGAAGCCTGTTTCCACTTTGCGTAACGCAAGTTGATAGCTTCTTTTGGGCGTTGCTGATCCGCCGTTGGCGTCGGCAATAATGCCAGCCGCATGCAGTCGCTCTCGGGGTCTCAAATTCGCGCGGTGCGCAATTCGCGTCATTTGATTGACGGGGTGCAGGGTGGCTGCCCAAAAGCATGTGATATGTAGCATATATATATGTGTGTGTATGTCTATCTATATTATATATATAGAGATATGTATCTCTCTCCCTCTCTCATTCTCGCGTTCAATATTCCATTCTGTATATTCTCATCTTACCATTTTCGTTTTCAAAAACACTAAGGCGGTCCAGTCCTTGATGCGGACTGCCGCCGGAGGAGGAGGAGGGGGGGGAAGGGGATCCTCCCGCAGTCGAGCGTCGGCCAGGAGGCTCTTCTCCTGCTCCTCGCCGTCCTCTTCCGCTTCCGCAAACCCTTGCAGCCGCCTCCGTCCATCCCACCTTGGAGCTCTCTCCCTGGTTCGGGGCGGACGAAGGGGGGCGGGGGTAGGGAAAGGAAGGGCTACGAGATCTGCTGCGAGCAACCGGCATCGGACCCGTCGCCCGACACCTACTTCGCGGGAGAGATTGGAGAAGCCAGCCACGTGAGCTAGTTTGGTCAGACCCCCAAAAGCACTTCTAGGTTTCTCAAAATGTGTCCGCGTTGATGGGGTCGGAGGATCGTGCCGCATCGCCGATGCACTGGCGAGGTGGTTCGATGTGGAGCCTGATCTTCTCCACGCCGACGTCGGCAATGCACTGCCGACGTCGCTGATACATCGCCGATGCATCGGCGATGTGGCGTGATCCTCCGAACCGATTTACGGCGGGATTGCATCGTGTCAACAGCCTGCGGCCCTGCCGCCGCCGTTCAACGTTGGACGCAGCCGCAACATCGGTGGATGTGGAACGATCTGACGTTTCGGCAGCTGCCGATCGTTCAACATTGAGCGATCCCCGCGGTGTGAGGAAGCAGCGCGGGGGTCGACACGACGCAAAACTGCCGCACTCAATTTGGGGGGGCCTCGAGCCATCCCCGCCCCTATCTCGTCCGATCCGAGAGTGGAGCGACCGTGGTGTCCTGCGCGTCTCTGCGGCGCCTCGCTGAGCTGTTCGGCGCGCCTCCGCCTCCTGCGGGCATGGGCCGTCCGTGTCGGGCACGCCTTGCGCCGTATCTTCTAGCCCCCCCCCCGCATCGGATTCCTCCTCTCTTTTTACCTTCCTCTCTCCTCCCCCTCTGCCCCCTTCCCCATTGTCCATTCCTGCCTCCTCCCTTCCTCCCTTCACTGCTTTTCCTCTCTCACTGCCCCCCCGTTGCTGCTACCGTCGCCCCCCTTCTCCTGACATCTTGACCGTTCTCTTCCAACATCTCCCTCCGTCCCTGTCCTCCCGCCCTCGGCCCTTCCCTCCCTCCACCCCCGCTCTTCGCTTTCTCCCTCCCCTTGTCTCCCTCCCCGTCCCTCCCTCATCCTTCTCCTTCCACTTGCAACCTTGTTATCCAAGTCCCCCCATCCTCTGCCTTTTCTTTCTCGACCTCCTCCGCCTTCCCTTCGCTCTCGTGTTCCTCCTTTTCTGCATAGCCACTTCGATTCAATTGCAGCCAGCGTGGCACTGTGGTTCGTGGGTTTCAAATGAATATGGCCGTCTGCACATCCGATTCCCACACATGCACGCGATGAATGCAACAGTTCCAGCACCAGCGTTGTTGGGGACTGCTGGAAGATATTCGGGCTGCAGCTTACAACAGGTCCCAGGCCTTCAACAGATGCGGCCGCTCCAGTGATGTGACGGTCACGTGCTGCGTGATCTATTTGTTGTTGCTTATCACATTAATGATGTTGTATTGAGGTCGACTCCAGTCCAGACGGCGGGCACGAATTCTGCGAGTGTGCGAAAGTTTGCGTGGCGAGTCAAACGGCTCAAAAAGTGGAGCAGCGTTCCTGCAAGTGACTTTTGATTTTGAGTTAGCTCTTAACGATGCATTTGTTCTTGGCTCGGCCACCCAAGCTTTGAAGTCCACGTTTGATTGCACACTTTCTTCGTGCTCTTTTTTGGAACGGTGATGTCGAATGTATTAAATTCAGGTGAAACGGGCTGAAGTGGGTGTCTGTTCGGGCTCCAAACGAGTTCACGAACTGTCTTCGAATAGGAGAAGTTGTTCGCTCAATTCTTTATGTCGGTCATTGTCCACATCTGTGCATGCAGATCGACGTTGCCGCGATCGCGCTGCTTTACTTACATCGTCGCCGTGTCGCTGCCGTGTACCTTGGCTCAAGCGCATTTTGGTACGACCGCTTCTGCTAATCGTCAACGTAATTGTCCCCCCCTCCTGGGGCACTTCCTCCACGACCACTGCAGTCCGAGCTTGCCCAGGCCCTGCAGGCTTCAGCGCGGTCCCAGTTTCTGCCCTCGTGAGCGCAGTCATGGATATGGAGAGGGAGCTAGCCAACATCATCACGGACTCGCCTGTTCCGACCCGCGGCCGGTCGGCTGGCACATCGGTCAGGGACCTGTTGATAAGGCGCGATCCGTTGCAGAAGATGGACCTATGGGAGAAGATGAAGGGACCCAGCGAGAAAGCGGCCCGTACTGGTCCCGGCCCATCTACCCAGACTTGCCCTGGTGGTGCCGCTTCGGCTACCACCCCCCTCATCGCGGACGACGACTGCCAGCGCATGCGCGACGGGGAGGAGCAGCAACGGGAACTGCAGAGCGATCGCCCTTTCAGGCAACCAGACTTCGACGCAGGGATGGGCGAGGATCGGGCAGTGACCATGGCAAGGATCGTGGCATCACTACGACCCGTGACGTCGGCAGCGGACGATCTACGCAAAGAGGTGCGGGCATAGACGGCAACATCACCGACTTGAATGCGAACCTCTTCCGAGCGCCTCGAGTTCCTCGAGCAGCGCATGACCGTCACCGATGTCCGCGTCGAGAGGCTGGAAAGCTTGCACAACGACCTGCTGCAGCGCCCCGCCATTGACACGGACATGCTTGAGAGGAAAATCTGGAAGGGCATCGGGGACTACATGAAAAAAAGGTTTCCGCCCGCTCCCCTACGCGCGCAGGTGCGTCCACAGGAGCAAACATGGAGAAGAAGGCCGTCGCCGCGGACGTTGGCAATTTGGAGGGCGTCCCGGAAATCGAGCAGGCGACCACGCGGTTGGACGACATGCTCTCGTCGCAGGGGGCCCCGCTGCCGACGAAGATGTACGCCGAGGGGCGCTGCGCCAGAATCGTGTTCGCTGGATTATGGGGCTCCTTTGATCGCGACCGAGCTGCGGAACACCTCAGGGAGGCTGGCCGACAAAGGGGAAGCAAACAGTTTTGGGCGAATCAGGGCAGAGCTGCCCCTGAGCGTGCGGCCAGAAACTTTTGCTTCGGCCTCAAGCGCATTTTGAAGACGGAATGGCAGGTGCCGCGCGCGATCCCGATCACCGACGAGGCGCCGCGCGCGGTCAAGGTGGGGGGGGGTGGCATGCCCTCACTGCGAGCGTCGCGCAGACTGGGGGCGAGCACGACTAGAAGGGCGAGTGAGCTTCTTGGGGCGAGTTGCACCAGCATGCACTGATCATCCAGCTGAGGTCCAGTGCGACAGCCGGCATGGATGGCCAGGCGTAAGGCGCTTCCAAGGGGGGCCCTGCCCAGGGGCAGGCAGCTCCAGGGGAATAGGAAGTTCCCCCCTCGAACGTGTCACTGGCGCCGGCAGCCGGCAGCGCAGCTACGATGGGCCCATGTGATTTTCGAATTCACGGCAGCATGAATGTACATTTTCAGCAGCCACGCAAAGGATTACGATTGCCGCGGCGGACCGTTGCGCCCCTGCGGGCAAGACGTCGCATTCGGGCTGACAGAGTCCAAGATCGAAGACATCCATGGGCGCGCGCGAACCTTTAACGTGGATATATACTCTCGCAATCCAACAGACTCCACAAACCAGAGTCAACGCATGAGGTCACTGACTCCGTTCATACGTCGGCGCTCTCTGGAGACGCCAACGACCGGGAGGCAACGGGGGGTGGATTTCTCAATCTCCACAGATACGCGCGAGCATAATCGGATCCAGGATTGCGTCGTCGCGGGCGCTTGCGGGCAAGCTGCGCGCTCGCGGCGGCAAGGCGTCGACGCCCCGCGCGCGCCCCGCGCGCGCGACGGCGAAACGCGCGAGGCCGTGAGCGACTTCCATTCGTCTCTTGGCACCCTTCTCCTAGACATCTCCGGGCGTGGAGGGCCAATTCTTCTCGGGGATTTCAGCGCGAGGCTGCGCGAGCAGTTCCCGCGCGATCGCCCGCCCGTTGGGCCGCGCGTTTTCGGCTGCCCGCCTGCGCGCCGCGATCCAAATGCCAATCGCAGCCCGTTGCTCGAGCCGCGCGGGGCGCGCGGGCCCCCGGCCGGCAGCGCGTCCATGGGCCGCCCGCCCGGGGCGCAAATGTCGCGCTTCAACGTCGGTTCGAAGCCTCCTGATCCACCTCGCCCAAAACGTTCTGGCCAAATCGATGTTCCACTTTGCCCCGGGGGCCGGCAGTCGTCGGTCAGCGACGCTCGCGGCCGCGAGGGCGCGGCCCTTGCGTCGCGCCACTCCCCCCCCCCCCTCTCCCGCGCGCGCTCGGGCGCCGAGGGGGCCGCCCGGGGGCGAAAGGGGACAGGAGCTGTCTGTCGCGCGGCAGAGCGGCGGGCGATCTCTGCGCCGAACTCTCCAGCAAAATGGTAGCCTTAGATTCGGCCGCGCGGCGGGCCCTCGGCCCTTTCGCTGGGCAGGTCCTGCGTGGGGCGCTCTGGGAACATCGCGGCCTGGTGGCCTGGCCGTCTTGGAGCGGGATTGCGGCTCGTTCGACGAGTCGCCGGTACCATTCGCCCCCTCATGAGGAGGCGTCTGGCGTCGACGATCGATGGGGGCAGTTTTGCGACCCGGAGCATGCTCGGCCGATCACGGTCACGAATTTCGACAACCGCATCTTCTTCGCCCGCGCAGTGCGTCGGCGGATCGGGCCAATATTGGCGAAATGGGTTCTTCCAAAGCAGCGCGGCCTCCGACGTCGGCGAAAGCGATCGAAATGGACCTGTGGGCGACGCGAACCGCACTTGAGCAGGGCGAGGGTTTCGCCGTCGCGTTTTATTTCGAGCGGGCCTTTCCGAGCGTGGACCGTGCTTTCATACTGGACTTATTCGAGCACCTGGGGCTCTCCGACTGCATCGTGGGATTTGCGCGGGCATTCAATTTCCAGGGCCGCTGCCGGGCGGGCGCGGGGGGGGCGCGCCGCGACCGGTTGGGCGTCGCGGCCGGCGTCCGACAGGAGCGCCCGCTCTCGCCGCTGCCATTCGCGGCGGCTGCGGACCGCCTCGTCCGACTTCTGCGCCGCCTCCTGCCCGCGGCCGAGTTGCGGGCGCACGCGGGCGACCTGGCCCGGGCCTTCCGTTGTGGCGTCGGCGACGCGCGCGTTTTGGAGCGGACATTTGAAGGGTGCGTCCACGTATCCGGCCTGCGCTTGCATCAGGGGCGGGCCGCGATCACACCCGCTCCGCCTGGAGCCCCTCGACGCCTTCCAGGGCCGGTTGGCGAGGGCAGCGCCATTTCGGGGCGGGGGGGTCCGCGTCGCGACTTCGGCGGAGCACCTCCGGCTTTCTTCTGGGCCCCGGCCGCGGCGCGACCTCCCGGGGCAAGCCGCTGGGGAAATGCCGACAGCGCGCCGCTGCTTGGGGATAAGTTGATTGTGGGCTACAGCTAACTGTGCTGGCGCGCCGCGCTCGCATCTTCAACGCCGCGCTCTTCGTCGCCCAGCTGGGCGCCCCTCCGCCCGAATGGGCCCGCTTCGATCGGAGCGTGAATTACCTACCCCGCTTTCGCTCCCAGGCAAAACCAAGTCATACCACGCGCCTCGTCAAGCGGCCTGACCAGTACAGGCCGTCGTTTGGCCGTCGTTTGGCCTCGTCGGCGAGGGAGGTATGTTTGCCCACTATTCGAGCAGGCCGCGGCCTCCGAGCTGTTCCCAGGTCCGCGGTGTTGGGCCGCGGTCAACGCCCCGCGGGCCGCGCCGCGTCTCGGCTTCCAGGGCGGGCTGGTTGACCTCGACGCGCGCGCGCCCGCGGCCGAGCGCAGGGTCGCCGCGTTTGAGAGCGGGCTCCACGGCGGCCTCGCGATCCGTTCCCGCGCGAGGGAGCTCCGCGCTACGATTCCTCCGCCTAGACGCGCCGGTGGGCCATGGAGCACTGGTGGACTTTCTCATCTTAGCGGCAGCGCCGAGCGCTACGCCCGCTGCCCGGTCGCCTGCGAGGTCGGC